ACGATAAGGCCCCATCTCGTGCGACTATTTACAACTGGTTTAATGAAGAGACCCCTAAGGACGAGGTGGCAAAGTGCTTTTCCCAGTGTTTCCATCGCATGCAGCGGTGTATTGACGTGAATGGACAATATTTTGAAAAGATATAATAAAACCAATAACTGGCTAATGTAATCAGTTTTTGATTTTCTAAGAACTTTCAGTTTAACCCTCGTATATACAATAAGAATTATATATTAAAATTTAGAAAAAGGTATATATATACATTTTAAATAATATGATTTAATTTAATTACTTGGAATAAATGTTGTTATATTACTCGAAATATTTTCTTTATTAAGACAATAATTTATAAAAAATATTACTTTCAATATCTTTTTAATGATTTCATCATAAATAAGACACTATAGTATTATATTCATACTATTATGAATGAACGTATTTATGGAACATTAAATTTTATTGTTTATATTTAATTTAATATATATTAATCAGATTACATATACATAATATTGTTTAGTATTAATAAACAAAAACTTCTTTTACTACATAGATTAAAACTGAGACACCTTTTTTTGATTCTCGCTCACAACTCTTGATGTTTTATAATAGGTGCTCTTATCCTTTTTTTTTCTAATTTCTACTCTTTACCTTATTTTAAGGGCTAATCACAGCTATGACATAAATACTGAAATAGTCTACGTAAACCTACCAGTGGATTATTCCTTGATTTATATTTTTATTTTAAAAACAGATCTTTTAAATTTGTAGATGTTGGTTTGAATTCTTTAAAATAAATAAAAGATTATTGTGACGTACTCTCGTGTAGTGACCTTTAAGAGTCTGAAGTATAAAATGGTTAACAATGTGCAAAAACTCCATAGTCACGAATATTCATTCAGACAAGCACGATGTTCGCCTTGGTTCTGTTAGCTTTGGTCGCTCAAGCTTTTGCTGGAGAGTATATTGACGCGAGATGTCCAGTTGTGCGACCGGTCGACAATTTTGACTACGCCTCTGTAAGTTTAATTTTAATTTATAATAATATTTTTAATAACATGAAAAGATCATACAGATTTGAAATTTATAGCTAAAGTCATTTAATTTTATCATGTAATGTTTGATTTTGAATTCTTGTATAATAAAAATAAAACTATTTTCTTTTACCACAAATACCTTGAAGTAGCTTTAAAGTTCACAATCTTTATTTTAGATCTTTTCGGTCACTTTAAATTCTTGTGTAATATAACTTTTTTTTAAATTAGAAAACCTTTTTGAAGACATTTTTTAATTGTTAATATAATTTTTAAATGTATACTTACACTTACTGATTTAACATACTTGTTAGTTATTAATTGTAAAGATTAATTAATTATTTACCACCTAAAATATGATGTAAAATTTATTTTGGAATTAAATATATATTACAATTCAAATGTAGAAAAGTAAAAAAAATAGATTTAACTTCACTTGACTTGTAATACTTTCTTAATGTAGTCTATAATTTGAGGATGGACTTTTTTAATTACATCCAAATAGGTTTTTCAAATTTAATTGCTTAAATGATTTCAGTTTTCAAGAGGAGTATGGTATGAGGTAGGCAGGTATGACAACAGAAAAGAAAAGGGTACCGAGTGCAGTTACTCTGTATACACCCCGATGGGTGACCGCTTTAAGATTGAGAATATTGGATTGAGACACAATAAAAAATATGAAGTTGATGGATATGGAAGAATGGCTCCGGACGCAGGCAACACAGGAAAACTCATCTTCACGCTGCCATATGGAAGTAAGTTTCTAAATAATAGATACTGGTTCGAAATTTTCTCGTATATAATAATGCAAAAAGTGATACCCAAGAGTAGAAGAGGTTATAGTCCCAAGCTTTTCTGCTGTCCTTACAATGTTAATTCTTGAATGATATATGTTTCTATCACAGTCTCCCTTTTTTTCAGAGAACGGCCAGAATAATGATAACATTTTGAATGTCATGTCCACCGACAACGCAAACTACGCTGTGCTCTACCACTGCAACTATAACGAAGAGACCAAGACTAAACAAGGCAAGTGTTATGTTCTGTTATTCCTTTACTATATGCAATAATATTTCAAAAAAATATGTTGTGTTGAACTACAAATAATTACTAACATAAAACATTACTTACTAACGAATAAACAATTTTCAGAACTCTCCTGGATCGTGTCAAGAACAAAGACTCTGAGATCTGACTTCAAAGCTTTAATTGACAGATATTTACTGGAATCAAAGGTGTTAGACCTCAGCAAGTACATTTTCCCTGACTTCTCTGATGATGTGTGTCGTATCGACTTCTAAACTTGAAGTCAGATTTGAATAAATCAGACATCTGGTTCACTATGTATTAATATAATTTTTTCTTATTAATATCTGTTATTGCTAAGAGAACATTATTAAATAAATAATGTTATGTTTATCGTAGTGTTTTTGAAAATCCTATACACTATTAACTACCTATTTATTTAGTTTTACAAAAATACTTCATTATATACTAGTTTATTTTTTAAAATTTACAGACATTAAACTTTTCCTTCTTGAAAATATTATTTCAATATTTAAGTTTATTTACTTTAAAAAAAATGTTTAGTTTTAAAAAATTAAATCCTTATTTCAATATTAGAACAATTTTTTTTTCTATATTATTATTTAAAATATTTGCTTTAATTTAATTTACTTATATTTGTTACATGTTTTGTTATAATTCTAATTCTATAATATATTTTTAAATCTTGAAACAAAAATAAAAATCATCGTTTTTAGTCCATCTGAATTATAAAAGAAAGTTTTTTATTTTGTTTGTTAGAGTGAAAGATGAGTTCGATAGGAATATATCCTTTAAATTGAGATCAAAAAATGGTTTTAGTTCATCAGAATCGCAATTAATTCATGGTTTGATGCAACACATTCTCTCCGATAGTACTCTGACAACTAAAAAAGGATACAAAACTGGGAAATCTAAACACAGAAATCAATGTCATATCATAAATAAATATATATTATAAGAAAAAGATTATGTATAATATGTAAGGTTTCTTGTAAACGAGTATGAAACAAAACGTGTTTATTTGGTTTCTGAATCCATCAATTATATATTTTTATTTGTGTCAATTTACTTGTGTATATACTCGTATATATAATAAGATGCGACTAATGTTTTAATACATGTGACAAATTTAAATATTAATAAAAATCCTCTATTAATTATTTTGACTAAATAAAATTAAAATAAAGTATTCATAATAACTAAGAAGTAAACAAATTTTGTTTTAAACAAAAAAACGAAGCTTAGACGATCTTTGAGTCCATACACATAGAAATCAAAATTTGTTAGTACTGAATATACATAGATATGACTAATTATATATAAGGTTTTTTGGTTATTCTTGTTATTTGAGTTCGAATTTTTTTTTAAACATATCTACATATTAAGTCAATTTGGTCTCGATTAATGAAACTAGTGAACCTTTTTTATGTAGGTTTTTTGTACATTATTCAAATTTTGATAGTATATCAAAACAAAGAATTATAAAAGGAGATCATTAATGGACAAAATTTCAGTCAAATAATGTCATATGATAGGCACATTTAAGATATTTTTGCACAATTGCACTGTTATATTGGGCTTTGTCGCTCAGACAAATACCTTCCACTATATCCCTACTCCCCAACTGATTGTAATGCGACATACTGTTGTTATAATGAACCCTAGCTGATTGTAAGAGGAATAAAAATTCGAAGATATATATTTTTTTACTTAAAAAGATATCCAAAATAGACTTGGCCTGTCCAGAACTCACATAAACTCATTCTTGGAAAGTACTTCGACGGTAGAGCTGAAAGGTTCCTTTCAAATTTGGTTAGGTGGAAAAAGGAGCTTGGACGATGGTGGTGAGCGTTTAACGCGCGTGAGATAGGGGCCCCTTAAACTTATACCAGGGTTGCAAGTCTCAGGCACTGTTGAAGCTCTTTTCATTGCAATGCGATCGACCCGGCATCCGCACGATGAATCCATCGAATGTTAAGAGGTTTCGTTTCGTCTCATTGTCAAACCTCATATTTCCAATTTATGAAAGTGAAAAGGAACCTGAGGAAGTAATGAAATAATCAAAAATGTATGATTTTAAGGTGAGGAATCCCTTCCCTCTTGTACGGTTCAAAGATTACGTATTTTATAAATCTAAATCTATGTTATATGATATTTTCATAAAAACCAATTATAGCCAAAAAAGTAAATAAACCAACCTCACAAATTTAATTACAATAAAGGGAAATCTTTCATACATGTAGTATGTAATGTGCAAATATAAAACTACAAAATAAAATCTTGAATCCTTAGTATATATCTTTTTACTAAAAAAATATAATATATATTATAACTCGAAATGAAAGATTTTATATGAATTGAATCTTGAATTTTTTTTTAAAGATTTCATCATTAGACACTATAGTATTATATAGATACTATTAGAATGAACGTATTTATGGCACATTAAATCCCTTTGTTTTTATTTAATCATTAATCAGATTATAACATCGTTTACTACTTATAAACAAAAAACTTGTTTATTTCTTATGTATTGATTAAAAATGAGAAATCTTTTTCTGATTTCCGCTCACATTTCTTTTGACTTTCCATTAATTGGTGCTCCTGCTCTTATTCTCCAAAATTTTCTCTGCTCCTGCTCTTGTTCTTCCAAATTTTAAGGATTAATAAAAGCTGTGATATAAATAATAATTAACTAGTCTATGTAATTCCACAACTGGACAGTTCTCTAGTTTCTGTACGTATATTAAAAACAGATCTCTTAAGTTTGCTCTATATGTACATATTGGTTTGAATTCTTCAAAATAAATAAAAGATTATTGTGACGTACACTCGTGTAGTGACCTTTGAGAGTCTGAAGTATAAAATGGTTTACAATGTACAGAAACTCCATAGTCACGAATATTCATTCAGACAAGCACGATGTTCGCCGTGGTTCTGTTAGCTTTGGTCGCTCAAGCTTTTGCTGGGGAGTATATTGACGCGAGATGTCCAGTTGTGCGTCCGACCGACAATTTTGACTACGCCTCTGTAAGTTTAATTTAAATATATAATATTTGTATTTAAAAAGTTCAAACACATGTGAAATTAATAGCTCAAGTCATTTTATTAAATCATGTTAGATTTTGCTTGTGTAAATTTTGTGTTGGATCTTTTCGCTGAGTTTAAATTCTTGTGTAATACATGTATATAATGTATATAATAACTATTTTTTTAAACTAGAAAACCTTTTTGAAGAGCTTTTAAAATTTAAAATACAGTTTGTATATTTAAAATAACCCTCACTGAGTTTGTTAAATAAACTATTTACTTATTTATTGTGTAGGATAGTTATTTATTCTTTAGTAGGTCAAAAATATTGGGAAATCAAGTTATAAATATCAATTGAAATGTAGAAAAGTAAAAAAATTAAGTCGTTACTTCACTTGATTTTTAATACTGGCTTATTATTGTCTATAATTTGAGAATGGACTATTTCAAATTGCAATCAGATAGGTGTTTGGAAATTTAATTGCTTGAATGATTTCAGTTTTCAAGAGGAGTATGGTATGAGGTAGGCAGGTATGACAACAGAAAAGAAAAGGGTACCGAGTGCAGTTACTCTGTATACACCCCGATGGGTGACCGCTTTAAGATTGAGAATATTGGATTGAGACACAATAAAAAATATGAAGTTGATGGATATGGAAGAATGGCTCCGGACGCAGGCAACACAGGAAAACTCATCTTCACGCTGCCATATGGAAGTAAGTTTCTAAATAATAGATACTGGTTCGAAATTTTCTCGTATATAATAATGCAAAAAGTGATACCCAAGAGTAGAAGAGGTTATAGTCCCAAGCTTTTCTGCTTTCCTTACAATGTTAATTCTTGAATGATATATGTTTCTATCACAGTCTCCCTTTTTTCAGAGAACGGCCAGAATAATGATAACATTTTGAATGTCATGTCCACCGACAACGCAAACTACGCTGTGCTCTACCACTGCAACTATAACGAAGAGACCAAGACTAAACAAGGCAAGTGTTATGTTCTGTTATTCCTTTACTATATGCAATAATATTTCAAAAAAAGATGTTGTGTTGAACTACAAATAATTACTAACATAAAACATTACTTACTAACGAATAAAAATTTTTCAGAACTCTCCTGGATCGTGTCAAGAACAAAGACTCTGAGATCTGACTTCAAAGCTTTAATTGACAGATATTTACTGGAATCAAAGGTGTTAGACCTCAGCAAGTACATTTTCCCTGACTTCTCTGATGATGTGTGTCGTATCGACTTCTAAACTTGAAGTCAGATTTGAATAAATCAGACATCTGGTTCACTATGTATTAATATAATTTTTTCTTATTAATATCTGTTATTGCTAAGAGAACATTATTAAATAAATAATGTTATGTTTATCGTAGTGTTTTTGAAAATCCTATACACTATTAACTACCTATTTATTTAGTTTTACAAAAATACTTCATTATATACTAGTTTATTTTTTAAAATTTACAGACATTAAACTTTTCCTTCTTGAAAATATTATTTCAATATTTAAGTTTATTTACTTTTAAAAAAATGTTTAGTTTTAAAAAATAAATCCTTATTTCAATATTAGTACCAATTTTTTTTTCTATATTATTATTTCAAATATTTGCTTTGTTTTAATTTACTTATATTTGTTACATGTTTTGTTATAATCCTAATTCTATAATATATTTTGAAATCTTGAAACAAAAAATAAAAATCATCGTTTTTAGTCCATCTGAATTATAAAAGAAAGTTTTTTAGAGTGAAAGATGAGTTTGATAGGAACATAGCCTTTAAATTGAGATCAAAAAATGGTTTTAGTTCATCAGAATCGAAATAATTTCATGGTTTGATGCAACACATTCTCTCCGATAGCACTCTGACAACTAAAAAAAGGATTTAGAACTCTGAAATCTAAATACAGAACACAATGTAGAACGGCATATCATAAATAAATATATATTATAAGAAAAAGATTATGTATAATATGTAAGGTTTCTTGTAATCAGACTATGAAACAAAACGTGTTTATTTGGTTTCTGAATCCATCAATTATATATTTTTATTTGTGTCAATTTACTTGTGTATATATATAATTCAGCGACTAATGTTTTAATAAATGTGACAAATTTAAATATTAATAAAATTCCTCTATTAATTATTTTGACTAAATAAAATTAAAATAAAGTATTCATAACAACTAAGAAGTAAATAAATTTTGTTTTAAGCAGAAAAACAAAGCGTAGACGATCTTTGAGTCCATACACATAGAAATCAAAATTTATTAGTACTGAATATACATAGATATGACTAATTATACATGGTGACTGGTGAATTACTATCAATATTTAAGGAGCATACTCAGTACATGATTCTCATTCGAATTATGTAAAAAAAATAGGTACTTAATTTTTGACCAAATTTCCGTATAAATAAATAAAGTGTGTACACGTTCCAAGTGTTCCAAGTGTGGACGCGTGCGGCGGCGTGCTGATACAACAACACGCCGCCGCGCGCGAGTGTGTGTGTGTGTGTATACCTCATCTGTAGGGTGTTCATACGATGCATAATTAATTACACAACTTTTGGTTAACTTTACTTAGAAGTTTATTAATATTTATTTTATATTAATTTTTATTTTGTCATATATGATCGTCAAATATCACGTCCTCAAATATCGATAGTAATTCACCAGTCACCTTGTATATAAGGTTTTTTGGTTATTCTTGTTATTGGAGTTCGAATTTTTTTTTAAACATATCTACATATTAAATCAATTTGGTCTCGATTAATGAAATTAGTGAACCTTTTTATGTAGGTTTTTTGTACATTATTCAAATTTTGATAGTACATCAAAACGAACAATTATAATAGGAGATCATTATGGACAAAATTTCAGTCAAATAATGTCATATGATAGAGATTTTTAAAAAATTTTTGCACAATAGCACTGTTATATTGGGCTTAGTCGCTCAGACAAATACCTTCCACTATATCCCTACTCCCCAACTGATTGTAATGCGACATACTGTTGTAATAATGAACCCTAGCTCATTGTAAGAGGAATAAAATTTCGAAGATATATATTTTTTTTACTTAAAAAGATATCCAAAATAGACTTGGCCTGTCCAGAACTCACATTAACTCATTCTTGGAAAGTACTTTTACGGCAGACCTGGAAGGTTCTTTTCAAATTTGGTTAGGTGGAAAAAGGAGCTTGGACGATGGCGGTGAGCGTTTAACGCGCGTGAGATAGGGGCCCCTTAAACTTATACCAGGGTTGCAAGTCTCAGGCACTGTTGAAGCTCTTTTCATTGCAATGCGATCGACCCGGCATACGCACGATGAATCCATCGAATGTTAAGAGGTTTCGTTTCGTCTCATTGTCAAACCTCATATTTACAATTTATGAAAGTGAAAAGGAACCTGAGGAAGTAATGAAATAATCAAAAATGTATGATTTTAAGGTGAGGAATCTCATCCCTTTTGTACGGTTCAAAAATTATGTATTTTATAAATTTAAATCTATGTTATATGATATTTTCATAAAAACCAATTATAGCCAAGAAAGTAAATAAACCAACCTCACAAATTTAATTACAAAAAAGGGAAATCTTTCATACATGTAGCATGTAATGTGCAAATATAAAACTTCTTTCTTGAATCCTTAGTATATATCTTTTTACTAAAAAAATATCATATATATCATAACTCGAAATGAAAGATTTTATACGAAATGCATCTTGAATTTTTTTTAAAGATTTCATCATTAGACACTATAGTATTATATAGATACTATTATGAATGAACGTATGTATTTATGGAACATTCAATCCCTTTGTTTATATTTAATCATTAATCAGATTATAACATCGTTTACTACCTATAAACAAAAAACTTGTTTATTACTTATGTATTGATTAAAAATGAGACATCTTTTTCTGATTTCCGCTCACATTTCTTTTGACTTTCCATTAATTGGTGCTCCTGCTCCTATTCTTCCAAATTTATTAATAAAAGCTGTGATATAAATAACAATTAACTAGTCTATGTAATTCCACAACTGGACAGTTCTCTAGTTTATGTACGTATATTAAAAACAGATCTCTTAAGTTTGCTCTATATGTACATATTGGTTTGAATTCTTCAAAATAAATAAAAGATTATTGTGACGTACACTCGTGTAGTGACCTTTGAGAGTCTGAAGTATAAAATGGTTTACAGTGTGCAGAAACTCCATAGTCACGAATATTCATTCAAACAAGCACGATGTTCGCCTTGGTTCTGTTAGCTTTGGTCGCTCAAGCTTTTGCTGGGGAGTATATTGACGCGAGATGTCCAGTTGTGCGTCCGGTCGACAATTTTGACTACGCCTCTGTAAGTTTAACTTAAATATATAAAAATATTTGTATTTAAAAAGTTCAAACACATTTGAAATTAATAGCTCAAGTCATTTTATTAAATCATGTAAGATTTTGCTTGTGTGAATTTTGTGTTGGATCTTTTCGCTGAGTTTAAATTCTTGTGTAATATATAATAACTATTTTTTTAAACTAGAAAACCTTTTTGAAGAGCTTTTAAAATTTAAAATACAGTTTGTATATTTATAATTACACTCACTGATTTAACAAACTATTTAGTTATTTATTGTGTAGGATAGTTATTTATTCTTTAGTAAGTCAAAAATATTGGGAAATCAAGTTATAAATATCAATTGAAATGTAGAAAAGTAAAAAAATTAAGTCGTTACTTCAGTTGACTTGTAATACTTGCTTATTATTGTCTATAATTTGAGGATGGACTATTTCAAATTGTAATCAGATAGGTGTTTGGAAATTTAATTGCTTGAATGATTTCAGTTTTCAAGAGGAGTATGGTATGAGGTAGGCAGGTATGACAACAGAAAAGAAAAGGGTACCGAGTGCAGTTACTCTGTGTACACCCCGATGGGTGACCGCTTTAAGATTGAGAATATTGGATTGAGACACAATAAAAAATATGAAGTTGAAGGATATGGAAGAATGGCTCCGGACGCAGGCAACACAGGAAAACTCATCTTCACGCTGCCATATGGAAGTAAGTTTCTAAATAATAGATACTGGTTCGAAATTTTCTCGTATATAATAATGCAAAAAGTGATAACCAAGAGTAGAAGAGGTTATAGTGCCAACCTTTTCGGCTGTCCTTACAATGTTAATTCTTGAATGATATATGTTTCTATCAAAGTCTTCCTTTTTTTCAGAGAACGGCCAGAATAATGATAACATTTTGAATGTCATGTCCACCGACAACGCAAACTACGCTGTGCTCTACCACTGCAACTATAACGAAGAGACCAAGACTAAGCAAGGTGAGTCTTAGGTTCCGTTATTCCTTTTATAAATATAATAATGAGTGAAACACATATACGTTCTATTGTACTACGAATAATTGGTGGTCATCATACATTTTCAATGTCCAAAATTAGGCATTAATACATTTTATTTTTTAGAACTGTCCTGGATCGTGTCAAGAACAAAGACTCTAAGATCTGACTTCAAAGCTTTAATCGACAGATATTTACTGGAATCAAAGGTGTTAGACCTCAGCAAGTACATTTTCCCTAACTTCTCTGATGATGTGTGTCGTATCGACTTCTAAACTTGAAGTCAGATTTGAAGGAATCAGAAATCTGGTTCACCATCACTTTCTTTCTGTCAGTATATTGTACTTAGAGAGAGTTCATTGAACTGAATTTTAAGTGAACTATATAACAGTTTCATCCACAAAACCTTTACTAATGTCCTTTTTTAAATATACCTATTTTCTTAATGGTGTTATTTTTATTATATACCCAATGCACACGTTATAAAAGTAGATAATCGTTTTAAAGATATGATTGCCAGAAATGCTTACACGACACTTGTGAGCTACACCCACAATTACCACTCCTCTTTGTTTTAGAACTATTCATTTGTTTGGACCAAACATTGTAAGAAATTTTGAAGAGACAAGACCTTTTTCCTTTACTTAATATAAAAAATGCCTTGGTTAAGTGAATTACAGCATAATTTACATTATTATAATGTTATAAAACGATTAAAAAACGTTTTTTAAATCCTATCATGGGATATAAAATTTTTCGATTTTTTTTTTGTTTTTCGATTTGGACTTGTGATTTTTCAGAAAGTCGTGTTTTTGTAATAAAAAACCTAAAAAAATATTTTATTAATATAAACCTTAATTTTCAATAGCCATTTTTTATATATTTTTGCAAATAAAATAAAT